TAGAATAAAATTTTAAAAGTCCATCAACAACTAAAAGAAATATTTTAAAAAGACTCTTTTTAGATATGTTTCCAATCCCTTGTTTTATGCAAAAATGCACAAATCATTCTCATTTCCCTATTTTTTTTCCTGTGTTGTTTTCACACCTTCTCATTCCCTGTCCTTCTCACTGAGCCGTCTCCCCTCTGCTTCATGACTTTTCCATTTAGTTATCTCTTCCTTTATACTTTCTCATTCAACAACAAGCTCTCTCTGGGCTTCTCCAGCCCAGCCAATCGTCCCATTGCTCAGCTTAGCCCGGTGCTGGTAGCCATCAATTCAGATATAGAAGTCTTCCTATTCAGTAGCAGGAAGAGAGGTCTTCGTAAGTGCTTATGGTTTTGTTTCCATGAATAAAGTTGTTTGTCTATGCCTTTTTTAAAATGTTTGTGGTACTGTTTTTTTAACCCACAGCCTCAGACAGCTAGGCAAGTGCTCCATCATCAAACTTAATACTTGGCCCTCTATGATTTTTAAGAAAATGAACATGGGCAGAAATGAGCAGAAATAGTCTGCCTTCTTCAAATGATGTATTCTTCATGACATTATTATCCATTTATTGAGAGTCAAAACAATTTATATCTATGATTTCTCATCTTTATGATCTTGTGGAGTAATATATATATATATATATAGTGTGTGTGTGTGTGTGTGTTGTATATATTTTGGGGGTGGAAAGAATGGAGTGGTAACTCAAAGGAAAAGGCAAGTCACCTGTGTTAGGTCTATTAAAAACAAAACAACAAAACCTCCACTCACATTATAGCATAGTATATAAAATCTATTTCCCAGAGACAGATTTCTACACTATACAGAGTTAAACTCTTAAAAAAGCCCTAAAGAAAATGATGTCAGCTATTGGGGACATTGGTAATATTGCAAAGGTCCTATTGTCAAAAAAAGTGATTATGCATACTCATGTCCAATATAATTAAAGTAGGCAAGAGAGAAAAATGTAGTCCTCAAATGGTTTCTTGGAGAAGAGATTTAAAATAAAATGCAGGGTTATTGTGACTGTATGACTGGTTAGATGCTGTTGCCTGGCTAAGTGACCATTGCTCAAGCTGGACTACTGTTTATAGGTTGAGTGGCTGTGAGATTTCAAATCACTAGAGGGAGCTTGTAGGTAGGAGCAATGCGGTTCCCACACAAGGAAGATTGATCACATTCATTCAATCCCCACAGCCTGAAAAATACTTCCTATTTATTTTATTCAGGAGCTTGTTGTAACATATCCCAGAGTTGCCCAGTCATTTTTTTCCACTAGTGAAAAGTCTAATTTCCTTTTCCATTTTTTATTCTTCTCTGCAATTCACTCAATCCCCATAATGGTCTGCCATTCCTCTGTATTTGACTCTCTACACTCTTATCTGGTTTCATCTTCCACGTACATTTTGTCCCAGAGAATGGCCAATAAAAGAGTTAATCCCATTGGAGTCCCTACCTGTTTCATGTTTGAGTGATAAAAGTTTTTCCTGATTGTTCAATCACTATTTGAGCAGTAAAAAGAATTGGTTTACCTTTTGGTTTGCAATCAATCTGAAATATCTCACTTCTACCCTACCAGTTGATATCAAGTACAGGAAACACATTTCTCAGCATTGTGTCTTCACCAATTAACTTGAGAGGAATTGGTATAATTTTAAAAGAATTACTTGCCATTTTATCAGTGAGCTTAAACTAAAATATTAGACAGTGGTTCAGATATCAATCATGAGTCTACATTTTGGCATATATATTTCTTTTACCAATCAGTTAAAAATGTGTTGAAAGAATATTTGTGTGTGCTTAAGTCCCTGTGTGTGTGTTTGTGTGTGTGTGTGTGTGTGTGTGTGTGTGTGTGTGTGCGCGCGCGCGCGCGCAAAGGTCCTATTGTCAGAAAGAGTGATTAGGCATACTCATGTCCAATATAATTAAACTAGGAAAGAGAGAAAAATGTAGCCCTCAAATGGTTTCTTGGAGAAGAGACTTAAAACAAAATGCAGGGTTATGTATGACTGGTTAGGTGCTCTTGCCTGGCTAAATGACCAAGTTAGAGTCAAAACTACCAAAGACTGTTTCCTCATCAATATTGTCTAATGATGGTCTTCAACATTTTCCTCCAAATATATCTCAGAGGATATTCATTGTTAGTATCACTATCATCACTGATTCAGAAATTATTTTATAAATTTCATTGGTTACAAAGAGCTTCAACATTGCCCATGAAAATTCATTTCTGTGAAATACCAATGAATGTGTGTGTTGTGGTGACCAAGACCACCTTTAGGCTTGACAACTTTCTAGAAGGCAGCAAAGGCTTTAGAAAAGTTGTTGTACTCATGGTTCTAATTTATGATAGCAAGAGGATACAGATTAAAATCAGCAATGGGAAAAGGCATAAGGTGGAGTCCAGCAGATAGCAAGTACAGGGGCCCAGGGGATCCAAAATGACCTGCATGATTTTCCAACAAGAATGTGTGACAACACATATGAAATGTTGCCAGCTAGGGAAGCATACCTGGGCTTTGATATAAGAGCTTTTTATTGGGGTCAGTTATGTAGGAGTAGAGGGCTCTCATGTCTAACCTCAGCTACTCAGACTCCAGCCCCAACCAAGCAAACAGATAGGTGACCACAAGTTGCTTTGTTAGAATAAATGTTTCTGGTCAAGCTGGTACAGTATTGTGCAAGGCTTCCGGCATTTAAATCACTCTCATCAGGCAGAATATCCTAAGGACTAACAGCTTATCTCCCATGAACCAAGACCCAGTCCTAAAGACTGACCTTCATGGAATGTCCAGTATTTGAGCAACCTAGGCCTCCTGAGTTAACCCTTTCTTACACAATAGTTATTACCAAAATTCAGGTTTTCTTGGCCAAATAGTTGGAACACATTGAATTCAATAATATTAAACAGCTTTCTCCAACCCTGTTAGCATACTAATATCCATGCAACACTCCAAGTGTGGAAGTATATGCATTTGCCTTCACTTAATGGATTTCAAAATTCTTTTCTTCCCTGTAGATCTAATTTTGGGAAATGTTACCCTGAATAACTCTTTACACTTGAGCAAATTTTCTGTCTAAAGAAAATATTAGTTAAAAAGGCAAATGGAAAAACAACTTGAAACATATGATGAAGGAACTGTGCATAATTAAGTACTGATATGAAGAACCATGTTGTTCTTTTATTAACATCTGCTGTCCATCACATTTTAATTGATAGCTTGCTTTTAGATATTTCATAGGTCTTCATCTTCAATGATTTGGTAATCAAAAATCAATGTATTTTCTTAACTTTATCCCTTTGGGTCATGAAAATGAATATCATGCTTATTGGAAATGAGTACTAGAAGGAATGGTCTAGCAATACATCCTTGAAAAATCAGGAGCTCATGTTGACTGTCTAATAGCTTATCTAGTTTGTGAAGAAAAGTTTACTGTTTTATAACTCACTGGTCATACTTGAAACTGCTCAGATACATGCTATGAATGATTAAACTTACTACAAGACCATTAAATTTTTTCTTATTGTATTTGTTACTAGTATTCTTACGCAGTGAATCTGCAGCTGAGTCCCAAATGAGAAAAAGAGGAATGTGACAGGCAATTTGAAATTAGCAGGCAGTCATTTGAAAATTTGGTTTAAAAAAAAATCCTATGGTCCCATTAATGCAATGTGGTGTGAAAAGACTCTCCCAAGTATTTTGCCCACACAAAATCAGGCAGTGCACCCATGGATTTTTCAGAGATGTAGGAGAAGTGAAATCAAATAATTCACTCACAGGAAGATGTCTCAGAGTTCAAGGATTATGAATCATTTCTTTAGTTCTGAAATCTAATAAAACATCTTTATTAAAATGAAAACATGTTTCATTACCAGAGATATTTTTGATCTGATGGCGAACATGTTTTCTTTTATTTATTTAGCATATGCATCACATATGCTTTTGACATAAATATATCAAAGCATAACAAAATAAATACTATCCAACCAGACATATTTAATATGTACTGTGTTGTGCATTAGATGACTACATTGTAAACAAATGGGAAGTGTATTATAGTATTTTAGTATGAAATACATCTTAAGATCTGTCTTATGTGTGTATTTTATCTCATATCTGGTATTAATTAAGGCAAGTGCACAGAGTTTTTTTTTTCTTCCTTCCTTTCTTTTTTCTTTTTGCAGTACTGGAGATAGAACTGAGAGACTGTGCACACCAGGCAAGCGTTCTAACA